TTTTCAGAGACCGTCAATAACGATTACAGTGTTTGTCCGAGCTTAGCAGCTGAGTCTTTGTATGCCATCGGCTTGTCCATCCCAAATAGAAAAGCACCCTGCCATCAATCTAGATTGGGACTACTAGACCCTCAACTAAGATCAGGACGCTTTTCTCACCATGTACGGCACTGACCTCAGCACATTTAACCCCCAAGTATTTGTTACTTACGGTCTGCCAGGTCATTTTTGACAGTCTATATTGAATCAGGCGTATTTGAATTAGTGTTTATCATTCCATCTTGCTCAGAACTTACTACACTGTCCTATGCTTGGTCACCCTCCAATGTTGCATCTGCTCAACTTAACATATATTGATGAGATCACATTTCCACCATGTTATATATATTGATGAGATCAGACTTTCCGCCATGCTCAGGAAAGCTAGGAGAATCACATATCTTTCTTTAGGATCCTTCTGCCAACATCTAAGCTTGTAAAGAGAGCGGATGTTTTTCTCACTTTATACGGCACTTACCTCAGCACATTTGACCCCAAGTATTTGCCACTTGCGCACTTCGCCTGATCCAGTTAGTACCCTATATCAAATCAGGCGCACTCGAATTACATGTTTATCACTTTACCTTGCTCAGAACTCACTGCATTCGTCTTCTGGTGACCCTCCAATGTGACATTCACTTACTTAACATAAATTTGTAACCCTGCATCTGACATCGCCCTTCCCCTACCATGTTCTATATACAGAATACCTCAGCAAAGTTTGGAGAATCACATATATTCCTCTAAGGTCTCTCTGCCAACATCTAAGCTTGCAAACACAGCGGTTGGTTTTCTCACTTTATACGGCGCTTACCTCAGCACATTTGACCCCAAGTATTGATCAGCGAGACCAGGAGAAAGTCATATCTTTCTATCAACTGCACCTGGTGAAAGACATAATGATCAATGTGCAACTAGATGTGCACCTGACATTGCCCGACATCACCCTCCGCATACTACGTTGTATATATGTGTGTGTGTTACTCTCACTCCTAGATCATGTGAGCAACTCCGCATTTCACGCTGCAATTAATCACCCCAGACATTCTTGGTGACACGTGAACATTCTTGGTTATGCATGATCATGCAAAGATGCTCCCCTAAATTAGCCGCCGACCGGAGTTTCTCTGGTCGCTGATTACGGGCTCTTATCTTATCTCGGAGATGGATGGTCACTGATGACGGAAATTTTATCTGAACTCCGAGATCTCTTTCCACGGAAAGATTTGGCCCTCCGCGGAATTATCTGGTGTCTCTTTCTACGGCCTTGTCCCTATGCCCTTGTCCCTCGTGACCCGGCCTCCAGTCTTGGAGCGAAAATTTTCAGGTCCCATTGGACGCTGACGGCTGCTAAGATACCAGGCGCCACGCAAGCAGCACAAAGAAAGGTCTTGCTGATCGTCGACCAGTGCGCTAACCGCGTTCTATGCTTCACGTCCCGAATTGCTGCGGTGCCAGTGATAACATTTTGTGTTAAGTGGAAAGATGATCTCTGTAGGTTCGTCCCGCAAACTCTGGCGTTACAGGGACGCTAATCGGTTGCAAATTCACAAGTCTTAGGCTTTTCTTCGCGGTGCTGAGTGATCAGGTGTTCGTCCTCCCTCAATCTTCGAGACGCACAAGTCTTGGTCAAATGTTCAAGCGAGACCTGTCCAATGGTATATCCTCCATCGTCTTGAGCTATGAAACAGTATACAAAGACTAACAGTCGCGGGCCAGCTGCACCACATGTTGTACCACGGGCGGACAAGCATTACAGGGCTGATTATTCGTTAGTTCAGGTATCTTGAAGTAACTTAGCGGTGGTCAAACAATGAATCTATTACTGCTTACCTTTCTAAGACTAATTGGCCTCCGTTCCAGCTCCAACGTTGGATTCCTCTGTTTGAATCCCACCAATAACCTTCTGCTCACAGCAGCTGATGTTACGTCGCAGACAATCTGTGCGTGGAAGCTAGATCAACCACGCCGCGGCTCCCCCATTATCGCCTCACATCGCTATCGGGTTTGTCTTGATCGTACCACTCGCTTGAGCCCGCGGCATCATTAGCTTCAGTTACATCTTCTCTTCTCTTGGGGTCCCCTTCAGATTCCTGAAGTTGGCAAGCACAGACTTGCGTATGACTCTGCTTCGAAGTAGTCCACGGTTATTGTCAGATCGACCATACGACATCGTGGCCCCTAGTATCCAGTGCTCATTGCTTCTCTGAATCCTTGGTTTTATATTTCGGGTCTGGACGATAAACTTCTTTAAATGTTGCGCGCTCGCATGCGCATGGCCCAATGTATATCATTTGTGCCTTCACGTAAGCTTCTCTCTTGAAGTGTGCATCACTGCGGCCGAGAACAAACTCTCCTACATCCAGGGCCAATGGTTTAAACCTTCCCATTTCTATTTTGACAGCTCTCTGACGTTCTCTTGTATTGTAATTGCTTTCAGACGGTGTATTCAACTCGCTGTCTCTCCTAATCACTGGTTCATTCGGAATGTATCCTGAATCTATCTCGAACGGTGCTGTACCACCGGCTTGGAGTTAAATACTCAATCTGGGATGGATACTTGCGCCAACTGTGATGTCAATTAGAGCGTAAGCCTCTATTTAATGTCCCGATGTCCCTTCTGATTGACCATCTGTCTGGGGACGGTTTGTCGTCGTCTCGTCAGTTCTTAATATTTGTTTGCAGCGATGCGGAGATCTCTATCACTAGTTCTGGTTCTCGGGAATTCATGATATGCAAAGACTTAACGGAATAACAGAGATGCGCCTGAAATTTTCCTTCTGGGATTAAGTATCATGTTTAGGTTGTTTGCTGTGCGTGGCAGTATAGTAACAAAATCCATCGATATATCAAGTCATCTTCCCTCCGCTACGGTGGGAGGGTTGAGTAATCCATTCTGGTTAGCCTATGGGTTTTTATTACTGACATTGCACGCATGTGCTGATGAGGGTTACACGAATAGTACCATCGCGGTTCCTCCTTTTCCACTGCGTCTCTCCACTGTTCAAATTACATTTCGGTCTCATTGCGCCCGTCTGGCGACCTAATTTCTGCCCTCTTTACCCTTCCGATGAGGGAAAAAGCATCAAACTTCGCTTTTCGCTACCGGTTGGTTACCAGGGGTTTCCTCGTTGTTGCGACGATAGTTTAAAGGCATTATAAAAGGCGTATTGGTCGTCTGGGATACCATCTAGTGCGAATTGACTAACGATGCCTGAGACACTTGACATAACTGAAAGTGAAGGAGATGAAAACTTCATTGTTTCGATGCTTTCTACAGATCCGTTTAAAGCATGGTTTGTGATAACTTCCATTGCTCTGGTCGCCCTTTTTGCCATTAATCGAACTGTATATTACTTTTGCGGTCCTACCAAACCTGCAGCTGTGCTTGATTCAACAAATGTTCGACTCGGAATGCGCTCCAGATGGTCTTTCCCAATGGGTTGGAAAGGTGCAGCATTGATTATCGCGGCAGCAGCTTATGCAACACCTTATTTCGTTACCGCTTTCTGTTATCTAATGTCTTCAGAGGACTGCGCGCCAGTTGTCGGTGGAATAATAGCTGCCGCTGCTACTATTGCTGCGGTCAGGGTGGCTGGTTTGGGCAATGCGGCAACTTCGACACCGATGCTATAACAGGTCTGTGATGCCCTTAGACGTTCTGGGCCGCACACGCGCTACACTGACGGAGCCAGCGAGTCTAACCTTGGCCGAGAGGTCTGGATAATCTTGAGAAACTCCGTCGTGCTGGGGATAGAGCATTGTAATTATTGCTCTTTAACGAGGAATTCCTAGTAAGCGCAAGTCATCAGCTTGCGTTGATTACGTCCCTGCCCTTTGTACACACCGCCCGTCGCTAGTACCGATTGAATGGCTCAGTGAGGCGTCAGGATCTGCCTAGAGAAGGGGGCAACTTCATCTCAGAGCGGAGAATCTGCTCAAACTTGGTCATTTAAAGGAACTAAAAATCGTAACAAGGTTCCGTAGGTGAACCTGCGGAAGGATCATTAGAGAAATCTATATGACATCTAACTCTCAACCTCACAAATAGGTCTCAGCTATAAACACTAGTAAGCCATAACAAGCTACGTCTAGCTCATACAGCTGCCCTTTGAGGGGACAGTAAAAAAAAACTTGAATTTGATCCAACCGAGGTTCGAACTCGGGATCTTCGCCGTGTAAAGGCGACGTCGTGAACCACTGGACCATTGGACCTGTGACAATTCCCCGGTGTAACAAGTTGAACTGGACATGTCGGTGTAACAGGATGAAACGGACATGTCGGTCGACGTGAAACCTCGAACCGAGTACTTAAGAGATTACATGAAACATCTGGTCAAGTATCTGAAACACTGAGATCCCGGATCAGGTAACAACATAGGTGGGACCTGGATCTGTATGTCGAGCATAGCGAGTCAATGAGAGGACCAAAAGGAAACATATAAAAGGGACCTAGTTGAGAGCTATCTAGGACTTACTGGGTTCCAGATGAAGACCAGGATTCCATAGGACCAAGACAAGTATTTATAAGTAATAAATACGGAACTTACTATTACACCCGGATTGTTGCAATACGAACCTGTATTACTGTACGAACCTGTATTACTGTGTAACTTAGTCTCAGATCAGGTCCTCGATCTTGATCTTCGATCACGATATCTTGGATTGACTTAAGGTCCAGTTATTCAAGCAATGAATCGAATCTATTACTACTCCTTTTCTCTCTAACTCTAAGACTAAGTACATATTAATTGCCATTGGATCTAACCTGGCTGGCCTCCTATTTATACGTTTCACTTCCAACAAGGTTCCGTCACCCGACGTCGTCGAGCACCTTCTCAGAGACGAATGTTGTAGTCAGTTCTAGATACAACACGGATTTAATAGAATGATTAAACCATACTAGCGTTGATCTAGAGTCGGCTAAGGAACGAGAGGATCATAAACGACAAGAGATTGACCTCGGATCATCGGGGAAGTTCCCACCTGAAGGTATGAATAGGCGCCTAAAATCCTAGTTAGAGAATAGTTGTTCATTGTATAGAAGCAAGCTTCAACTGAAGAATATTGATATCAAACCACGTATGACTCCGAAAAGTATTATTACATCGTACACTATTTTTCAATTCTGCAATGCGATGTATAATAGTTAATATTAATAAAGCGATAAAATGGGATTTAATGGTCCATTCAACTATAAGTGCTTATACCGCCATTCTGAAATGGATTTGCATTTCTTTCTCTTGACAATCAAAATTTCTTTCCTCAGCCTTTCTAAGACCGTGTCTAGATAAGTCCAATGTTCTTAAACGACCATCAGATCTCGGAAAATGTCTCCCATATATCTAGCAAAGGTGCGTTCGTCACATCGTATTGTGAAGGCCGTTTAATATGTATCCTCCGCCTTCACCGGGATCCGGTGATAATCGCCATGCAAACCTATGATTGTGAAAACTTCCAATACAGCTTAATAACTTGTCAATTCACGGTAATGGAAACGGCTCAGAGACGGTAATGTCGTCCAGGTTGGAACTTGACCAAAGTTTCAGCCAGCGGCAGGAGGTACGATTTACCAATCAACCTTTGGTCGTCCATACTCCGCTCGGATTGGCCATCAGTCTGTGGATAGTTTGGTGACGACATCGTGAACTGAATGCCCAAGCGCGATGTCATTGCCTTGAACATCCTGAACGTGAATCGTATGTCGCGGTCCGACATTATGGTCCTTGGGAAGCCATGGTAAGCGAAAATAAAGCGATATAACAGGCCGATTACTCCACGGGAGTCGAGGGTCTTTCGACAAGGAATAAAGTGGGCTTGCGATCAGGATCATATCATTGCTCTGGAGTGTTCAGAAAGTCCGTAGCGAAATTCATAGAGATATCGAGCCAGCGGCCTCCTTTCTTCTAACACCGCTCCGAAACCAAGTTTACTAGCGTCTGTTGTTAAGCGATATTCTTTATCTGGGTGCAAGAGTACCAGTAGCGGTGCGGAACTCAAGAGCCGTTTAAGATCTTCGAGAGCTTTCCTGTTTGTGGGTCAAAGGTGTTTTCTTGGAGGTAAAATCAATCAATGGTCGTGCAACCATTGAACAGTGCGGGATGAATCGCCGGTAGTGGTTTATAACTCCTATAAATCGCTGCGCGTCCCGTATGGTCTTGCATTCCGGGCTAGCATTTATCGCTTCGCATTTATCCTTTATTAGTTGGATATCTAGGACATACTGTCGAAAAGCTACCGTTGTAGTCGACTGCTCGATAGGTCTAAACCCCCTTAGATCTCCGAACGGATGAATAAAGTGGGCAACCATTATCAAACCGTATCTTTTTTTGTTATTACGGTTTTCTTAGCCGGTTCCTGCAGTCGCCTTCGGAAGATCCTTGAGCAGATCTCTCTCCGCCGGCGCAGATCCTTCAAGTATTGCTGCCGACCTTAATGCTCCGCATTGATTGGTGCTAAAGTCTTGTAATATGGCCACGCAGATGGTAATACAAAGGGGTATACCCGAGGATCTTGAAGTAACAGACGTTTCGCTATCATCTGCTCACCGAATGCTAATAACTGGATTGCAAAGCCACTAGCTGTAGCTTGTACAACCTTCTCTCCCGAATGTCTTGTTTACTCAACTTAACATATAATTTCTGTCTCTTCTAAAGAAGCCCAACTTTGAAGAGCTTAAACTGCCGTAAGAAAATACACAAGCCTTCACTACCCGGAATTCATATTCGCTTAAACATTTTAAGCACTACTGGACGCTGTACTGCTATTACTTACTACAGTACGTGATTCCTACTGCTCTGTGATAGGAGAGGGATCCGGCTGGCGGGACCAGATGCCTCAGACTTGGCTATAACTCATGGTGAGACAGTAGCTAAGGAAGAGTTAGCGTTTTCCAGTGTTACGGTTGCTTGCATTGAGTGGTCCTCAAAGAAATGCTTACGTTGAGGATGCTTCAGCTGTTTTGCGACTATAAACGGGCTTTTCTCGACACTAAAACTTCTGCTCACCTGTTCTACTTCATTATGGTTCTGCGACAAATGCAGATAAACGCTCTCGGTAAAGATTAACGACTGGATCGATATCCACAATGTCGCACTTCGGAAAGACGTAACCCCGCAAGCCATTTATCCTTTGCCCAAATCGATAGCTATTAGATCGCCGAACACTCCCATATAGACGTCAATCACATTCCCCTGCTCTATGAAATTTTCAACGTTTGACACCTGCAGACAGTTGCTTCCTGCAACCGAGCTATGCAAGCAGTCAAAAGAACAGTGTAGGGCACAAACACGAACGAGACGTATTTGCAGGTTGTCTTCGAAGCTAGCGCTGCAAGCGGCAGTTGAAACAGTTCTGTTTTTCCATATCCGGGACCCGCATGGACAATCAGAGAGGGTCTTTGGTACATGTAGATTTCCATACAGGGCGACTCTTGCTTCGAGTCACGGAAGTGAAAGTCAGGGCCAAATAGATTCCGGCCGGCAATAAACAGATCGCCCGGATCGCGGAACTCTGTAGGTCTTGCTTTAAAAGGCCAGGAATTATTTACCGGCCTGTTACTTTCAGTATTTTCGACCACTGTTTCTTCGACATCCTCAGCAATTTCAACCGCATCATCACCATTACTATTCCCATTCGAGCCTTCCGATTTCCAAGGTAACATTTTTTCAAGTCCAAGCCAGGAAATCCATCTCTCCGAAGCACGCTCCTGCAAGACAGTGGCAGTCGTGCCGCTTACATGAGCGAGAGACCAATCATCCATCCCGTAGACCGTAAGTCCCGTCTTGGCGGAGTGACCGGCCATTACTTCGGACGCCATGGAATCAGGGAGCGCGGTGGACACATGAGCGTCAGCGTAATATATGACAGCCTTCATGGCCTGGCGCAGCTCCCTAAAAGTAAGCTTGTTTCTGTCACCTTGAGGGAACTTGAGCAGGAACTTGCGAAACATGGAATATTTTATAAAATCGCCCACAGAAGAATCCAGAAAGAGATAAGTTTGAAGGGCAGTGCGCGAAACGGCTTGTCGGGTGACATCACTTCTAAGTGCGACGTTCTGAATATCCATCCAGCAGTCAACATTGAAAGCACCATAATCTTTACCCAAAGCATCATTTGCATTTGCCTTAGGACGACGATAAAATAGAACAAATAGGCAGACGTTGTTGTGTCCAGAGTGAGCGAAACTATCAATTTAATTAAAATTCTCTATTTAATAATTTCGTTTTATTTATTAACCGACCCGCCGAGCCATGATGCAGAGCATCATAATCCCTTCCTTATCTATATTCCCTATTATATATATTCTTCATATATTACCCACCAGCTCTATATGAAACAGCTTCGATTTTAATGAGCATAAATGCATGTTGAATTCCACATAATTCTGAACATTGTCCATAGAATAGACCTTTAGGATAGGAAACGAAGAGCCGATCTTGTTGTAGGTGCATGCGTCTTGAAACGTCCTCAACGTAAACATTTCTTTGAGGGCCGCCGAGCGCAAGCAGCTGCAACTCTGGGAAACGGTACGGGAATCCAGCTGAAAAGTACACCATCCACATCAAGACACATGCGATTTCATCGACAGCATCGACATAGTGCTAGGCCGACTCAAAGACCACCAATTGATAGCCAAAGCAAAAAGAAAATGCCACTTTCTAGAGAAGGAGATCACATTCCTAGGGCATCAGATAGCTAAACGCTGCATCGGGCCCATCAACACAAATGTGAGGCCATCAACGCATTGCCGCCATGTAGGGCCGTAAAGGAGACCCAGAGATTTTTTGGAATGATCAATTATTATCCCCCGATCATGGGAAGGCCGTTGATTGAGTTTACAGCAAAGACGACACAGTGAACTATGGAACAGACCAACGCTTTCAACAACTTGAAGCGGGACTTAGCGTCAGCCCATTACTAGTACCCTTCAGCCCCGAGCGTCAATACCGGCTGACTACAGACGCTAGTAAGCTCGGACTCGGAGCAGTGCTAGAAGAACTAACTAGCAACCGAGTGAGTGGTGTAGTAGGCTATTTCTCAAAGTCCCTGCAAGGCGCCCAAAATAACTATCCAGCGGTGAGTTAGAACTATTGGGTATCTTCGAAAGCCTCCGGCATTTCAAGTATTTGCTGCATGGTAAGCGATTCAAACTCAGGACCGACCATATTTCCTTACTCGCCTTGAAAAATAGGAGCGAACCATCGAGACGGTTA